TATGAAAAAAAACTGTGCAAAAATACGACTAAAGAAATAACAGAGGGTAGACTTTGTGTTCATTGTGACTGTACATTATTAATTAGGAGAAAAACCGATGCATGGACAAGGTTTTATCTAACTTTTGAGATCACACTTCACATTGGAGGTGTAAAGCAGCTGCTAACTGTTCACACAYATGGCCAGATGAAAGACTGAGCGATAGTAATGCTTGCATCAGTGTCATACTGCAGATTGTGGAGCTTCAGACAGATGGTGGTGTTATCCAGAATCTGCTTAAAGATGTTACTCTAAATCCCCTGCCTTCACACATAGTTGTGTTTTTTTTTTTACTTCAGAGAACAAAGACTTACATTCATCCCTCGCTCAGGAACTCTAAGCTGCAGTTTCTGCCACAAGCAGAAAGATGGTATAAGATGGTATAAAGGTGGTTTTAAAACACGAGCGACACACAAACATCTACTTGTCCTGTACGCCTTCACAGCRTGCTCCAAAACTCCGGCTGCTGCACAATCAGCAGAAATGTGTGTGAAGCTGATGTGCGGATTAGTGGTGCCCTTTATAAGTAGGGTTCTTTTAATGTGTTTGKTAATTTTTCAGTGTATTTTATTTTATTTCTTATTTCTTTTATTTGATTGTAGAATGTTATTTTGTTCAAGTCAAACATGTATAGAACCCACTGGTTATTAATGGTGAACGGTTTGAACTTATACAGCATTTTATTAAGCCCAGTAGTACCTATAGTTGTTGATTATTGTTTACAGTTTGACTTGATCAAGACTTTTTAAGATTCCACRCTACARAATAAATATAATGTAGGATAAATAAGTACGTAGGATTTGTTCTGATRTTGCTTCGGGTTGATATCAGGCAATACTCAAGTCTAATCAGTATCGTATCAGAGGAGGAAAAAGTTGCACTGGGACGCCCCTACCTTCAATGTTTTATTTTATTTTACTTATTTTATTTAGAAATTTATTCATTTCATTTGTAACACAAAATAACAATGAACAAAAAACATGCAATCAAAATAAAATCAAATAACATGAAAGGCATGATCACTGTAAAACAAAGATCTTTCTATTATTCACTGGTTTGAAAGGATCGCATTCTCAGACCTAACAAACTTAGGTCCGAGAATGGAACCCTGCGGCACTCCACRWGAGATGTTACRAAACTCAKATCTTACATTATTTATYTGTACAAATYGTTTTCAATCTTCCAAATAACTAGATACCCACTGTAATGCACAAATAAGAATGTTTCAATCWTATWTTATTGAAAACACTGAACAATGATCTTCAAACAATACAAACTTGTTTTAACTGAACACGGGTGCTCATGGAAGCATCGGCCAATGGCTCATCCCCCAAAATTAAGGAAATCTGTGCCAATTTATTCATGTACCCCTATAAAAAAATCCCATAAGATAGGTCATATTGAAATAAKAAACAATTTGGTTTATAATTCCAGGGATCCTACAGTTTAAGGCGAGTTAAATTTAAGATCTTTTAAGACTTTTTAGTGCCAAGTTAAATTAAAGATGAATTTCACAATAAACACAAAGAACAAAAAATAAATAAATAAAAACTGGCAGAAACTCATGAATCAAAGTATTTTTGGTTGAAATATTCAAATATTCCTAATAAACCAATTATTTTTATCCATATCTAACTGCTTTTTTGTCAAATATAGCAAAACATTCTTAGCAGTCAGTTTTAAACTTAATTGAATTCCTGGAAATCCTCTAACCACCCAGAATTTGAGGTTTTAGGACCCACAGTGCCCACCTAAAGTGCCTGCGACATCAATTTTTTTGCAAGAAATGTGAATCCATTTTTGGAAAGAYAACATTATTAACATTCGAAAACAAATTTCACGATGCTCAGACGGACGGTTGTTGATATATTTGCATGTGAAGCAACAGGAAGTGATGTCAAAGGGGAACGTCTGCATGTGAATGTTTTAAAAAAAATACTTCCAATTATTTTAATATTTGAGACGAATTACAGTCATCCTATTTACAATGTTTTAAGATTTAAGACCTCTGAAAGATTGATTTAAAACATTTAAGGCTAATTAAGACCTTAATTTTGGATCAATGAATTTAATGCCTTTTGAGAGTTTTTAAGGATCCGCAGGAACCCTGAATTCGACCTAATTTAAAAAGCATCTTTACTGCAGCAGCATGTCGGGCCATCAGATTTCATCACTRTAGCAGAACAGCACTGACAGACTGTGTTAAATAACACTTGTGTGCTCATTTCTCTGCCTTCCTGACAAACTGGCCAAACAACACAAAGTTTGTGTGATAAGGACGTAGTGTTTCCCCCACATCGCTGGCCTTGGCAGGGCACCTGTCGGACCTTTAATGCTGTCAAAGCCAAACATTTTGTAAACAGAACTGGGTTGTGTTGACAGGACGGTGTGCCCTCCTTGGATAATAGTGTGGTTGTGGTTGATTTTTAACTTATAAAATAGCATCTTTTCAGTTTGCAGTCTGGATGTAGGATCACTCTTTACAATGACATATTATTTCTGTTTAAACACACAGCACTGAAAACAGCATTTAAACAAGCAGGATCCTAAATGACAGGGTGGAATAATAACAGACCTGACAAAGTTTATGAATAAAGTTGGAAACAATGGTTTGAAGCTGAGTTTAAAGTGAATGTTGTGAATGCAGCTTAGTCAGCATTTTCTACCTGATCCAAGGTGGACGTTTAAACTGCTTCATTACAATTATGCAAAAACAAAACAGCAACAAGTCAGTTTTATTTAATCTAATGATTAAACAGGGATACACTTTGCTTATTCTGGCTGATAGGAAAGATCAACACATTCTCACTCCCGAGTCGTCACATATTGACGTTTTTCAAAGGTCCCTTTGCGTCCAATTTTGACGCATCAGGTACCCCCCTCGCGTCAGTCCTTGCCGCCCGCGGCTTTTCCGGGTTGCGCCACCAGGGGTCTTTGGGTCGGGGGTCTGAGGTTAACATTAGGGATCAGGATAAATGGTTAAGTTTAGGGACTGGGGTCAGGGATAGGATGTCTACAGTGAACATTAGGTAATTTTAGGCTTTGCAACACGTAGTTGCCATGAATTTCCTACATTTTCTAAAAATGGTTAATTTTACGTATCAGGGTTAATGGTTAATTTTAGGTACTAGGGTCTGGGACAGGATGTCTAAAGTGAATACACGTAATTTCACGCTTTGGGACGGTACTATTTGTGCATTTTCTACACTTAGAAAAATTACGACAACAGATTCCGCCCCATCCCGTCAAAATATGACGCAAGGGGGGTACCTGATGCGTCAAAATTGGACGCAAAGGGACCTTTGAAAAACGTCAATATGTGACGACTCGGGAGTGAGAATGGGTTGGAAAGATACACTGGGAGTTATTTTCATATTTCACTATAAACATGTTGACAAAATCAACTGACAAACATGGGGAAAAAAATCAAGATAATGGATCAAATTTGACCCCTTGAACACATAAAACTTTGACCTGTGAGTTCTTGTGCTCAAATGTTACACATAATAAAAAGTGAGGAGATCATGCAGAGTCAAAGCATCGTTTTGAAAAGACTTACGAGAAATTATACAAGAGAGATTCCAGACAGCTGGGTTTAAAAAATATAGTTAAAAATCTCATCTCAGAGGTGAAGTTATAGAGATGAGGCTGAGACGGTCTGAGAGGAGGGACGTCAGAAAAAACTCCCAGTTTTCTACTTTAATTACTARAGGTTATTTTAGTTAAACATAGACATGTTTGGTATCTACAGAAACACCAGAGTCTTGGCTACAAGAGGTTAAAAACCATTTCTACGAATATCTAATACAGTTAAAATTACAAGCAGTTGAAGATAAAACTATGAAAGTGAAAATAAAATTTGTTTAAAAAGTTGCCAAGTCAGAGATGTTAAAATATTTGTGTTAAATAGGAGGCAAAATGTGTTATTTTTGTTTTTGATTAGGGCTGCACGATATTAGAAAAACCTGCGATGTGCGATGCAGTGCTTAATATTGCGATGACGATATGACTTGTGATAAATAAAAAAATACGCATGTATATGTAGTGTTATCTTTCTGCTCTGGGTTCAAAGCCCAAAAAAACATAAAAAAATAATCATTTCCATTCCAGCTTGGTTTTTTTAATTGACCAAATACATGAAAGGCTCTGTTTGATTGGTGAAATATTTCAAGCTTCCATCTAAATGACAAAACGCATAAATGCAAATCTTTGAGTCAACCATTTATTGCAGTTTATGCAGTTGTTGCGACAGGCTGTTATCGCGATGACGAAAAATTGTCGATACATTGTGCAGCCCTATTTTTGATATTGTTTAATTATCACTACATTTATTGCATAGGGTTCTGTATGTTGTATTCATGATTAAATGCAGCGAAATAAACTAATTCAAAGGTAACAGATCTTTGTAATACTTGGTTTATTTATATAACAACTTTAATTGCTGGATGTTCGGCCCTTTAGCTGTTAACCTACTGTAACTGTGGCCCCCGGAGTAATTTAGTTGAAGGATGTAACAACTGCTTGTGCAATAGTCTTAATTTTGGCCCTCATACAGCACCATAAAGGAGGGGAAGTCCTTTCACTTCTTATTACGGACAAAATGTTGAGAAAAATAAAGGCCAACACTCCGGCTCTGACTACTGCAGCTGCTGCTATAAAACATGCAGTGCTTATATATGAATTCTGTAATATGAGAGGCATTATTAACCTCTGAGTCCTCTGTGTTTCCTTCAGCAGACTGACTGGGAGGAGGCTCGCTGCGCAGAAACTCCTGTAACACCGACAGTAACTGTTTCTGTTTGTGAAGATGTGAATCATCAGCACCTTCGCCCACAGAGCACACTGATTACACCTGAGGTTTAAACTCGCTGACTGAATGAAAACAGGCTGTTTACACACCAGCGTGCAGATTTGAAGAAACCACGCYGATGTTGGAAACTTTGACCGGTGAAGACGGTTACCTTGTAGCCCATGGTGTGTACRGTCGTGTTGCTGTTGTTGCTTAGAAACAAGCTGCTGCCTCCAGGTTTCTTCTCATCTCCTCTGTGGATGGAGAAATACACAAAAATAGATTTTACATTCTGTATAAGCTGCGTTTTCCCACTTCTGCATGGCACGTTACGTTCAGGTTTTAGAGCATGTCCTATTTTATTAAACTGATCGAACCGTTTCACATTTTTGATCATTTCTAAACAAATAATTCCAGCAGAGAGAAACTTAAACGACTGGAACTAAACACAAAAAAGCACGAGCTCCCAGCCATCTGCAACAGGAACAAACAAGACGAGACACTTAACTAAATGCTGCTTTTTAAATTTGAAATTATATTTCTAAAATCCTGAGCTTCCTGGTGCATATTTACCTAAACAACTTAACGAAGAGAAGCAGCAACACTCCTCAGTGAGCTGCTGCACTCAGAGTTGTAATTTCTAAGTCTGGCTGCTTGTGCACATTACTGTGTAAGACGTGTCCCTGTTGGAGCAAACAAACTCACAAATCTGCTTCCATTGAATATTTCARTGTTCTTCAGCTAAAAGGCTTCCTATAAAAAGCTGGATGAGATTAGGATCAAAATMTCTCTTGGCTTTTCTGGGACAGAAAGCTGCCAGAAGAGCTCAGAGCTGCAGCTTTCACTGCTCTGACACAACTTGTGGTTTTATCTTACCAAAGAAAGGCCAATTTGGTATTGATCTTTWTACTGASAGAGCAGGATTTTAATGCAAGGTCAGCATTTCATATTACTTCATTATCTAACACCACAATATTTYTCTCCTCTGTATAAAAGCTTTTAGTTTCAGATGTTCTTTCTTTCCACACAGCTGACTCCATCTCATGTGCATCGCCTCCTTCTGCACATTCAAAGGGTTAAATATAACCTGGAGACTCATTAGGAGCTCTGTCATTAACACCCTTTACACTTAGTTTTCTACTGGGAGCAACTGGGACCCAAGTGTTGCAAACAAGAGAAACTGGATGCAGACAAGAGAAAGGAAATAAAAAAAAAACTGATCACTCGTTGAAATATCTTTCAGCTACATCTCACCCAGAAAACACGGCGGTAAAAAAAAAAGCTACACCTTCTTTCTGGTCAATATAAAAACCAGATTTTGATGGCTTTGATCCTATTTATTTAACCATAACAACTTTATTTGTAAAGCACTTAAACAATAGGACCAAAGTGCTGTACAGTCACAATCAATAAAAACACTCATAGTCACAGTGAATAATAAATGCCTAATCTAAAAATATAAAACAAACACATAAAACCAATTAAAACCATTGTATCACCAACTTACACACAAACTCTGTACTTTTACAGGGTTTTTATCATTTGCTTTATTTCTGCACATTATGGCCCATTTTAGCTGTGCATAAATCAAAACATTCAGCTCATTCAGGAAGCAGGTGATGTGACCTGATTTTTGCAACATTTATATT